CTATATTACTGCAAGGCTTTAAGTAAGCAGAACAACGAAACGCTCCATGGGTTAATTATTAATGACTTCTGGTAAATCGCAACACAGGGCGATCAGTTTATCCTGGCCGCTTTACTCAGTCAAATTATTATTAGCTAATCTCTTTAAGTCCAGGTTAAGTCAATGCACAGCCTCGTGCAATGTAGATGAATGTGGTGGTGCTGAACTGCGAGCATGTTGTGAGAGCGCTCCCCACGACCATCTTGTTTAATGTTGCTTACCTTTCAGGTATCGTCAATAAACAGAGTTCTCCGCAACCTGGCTAGCGAAAAGCAACAGATGGGTGCCGATGGGATGTATGACAAGCTAAGGATGCTGAATGGACAGACAGGGACATGGGGCACGCGACCTGGATGGTACCCCGGGACCTCCGTGCCAGGGCAGCCCACACAAGGTAAGGCACATCCCAGTGAGATGGGAATCTGGGCTTGGCCAGGCTGGCCAGCCAGAAGTGTCACCCCACCCTGGCCGACCTGGCCTCTTCACAGAGCCCCTGAGAGGAGAAGCGAGCAGGAAGGTTGGCTGCCTTCATTGGGCATTTCCCCCCAGCCCAGAAAATTAAGTCAGGATCCACTCCATCGCGTCCCTGAAGGCTTTTCAAAGGAGAGTTTGGCAGGGAGCGGATTTTACAGCCCCCCTCCAATCCAGCCATGTCGACAGGAGCGCTTTACCCCTTCGCCATGAAGCTAGGGAGTGCGAGATCTAACTCTCCCATTCACATGCGGGGAGAACCCCCCCTCCTGTAGGAGTATGACAAGTTAACTCGCTGACAGATTGCGAGGTAAACATAATTGTATCATATTGTGCGTTCCTGTAATTGACAAATTATGTGACTATGAGTAGAAAAGCATATGGAGTGATAGGGAAATAAATACAGATGCATGGAGGAGCTATAAGGAAGCGTTGGGGCTGATTAGCGGATCGGTTTCCAGTTTTGTTCTAAAATTTTGCCTTGAGAACAATGTCTTTCTGCAGAAAAGCGCCTGCCAAGTAGCAACGCAGACCTGCTGCAGGGGAGAGGCGCTTGAGTTACTGAACTGATTTTTCACCTTGCGCGTCAGCCTTTGAATGGGTGGTTTCTGCTCCCCATCCGGGCTGGCTTTTTGCGCGAGGGTTGCTCCCTCCAGAGAGCTTGGCCATCCTGTAGGTGACTATCTCTGTAGGCTTGATAATAGCCCCTCCTCAATGGACCTGAAACAACTTTGTGAATATAGCAAACTGTTTATCCTGAAGATTAATAGGTATTTGTTGTAGGAATGACAAGGGAATAATATAAAGGATAATGGGATGTTACGTTACATACTTAAGATGGTTAATGGCTCCTTTTTTGAATGCAGCCTCTGTTCACACGTAGCCCTTCCCCTGGCTGTGGTCAGTCCTTTAGAAGAGGTGTCTATCTAACAACCTGCTTTTTGTTTTGCCCCCTCAAGGAAGGGGGGGGGGGGGAAATCAGTAACAGTATGCGGAATATCTGGTACAAAGGATGTTTCTGTCACACGCAAGAATTTGTTATGGGAACAATTCTGTCGCTATGTAATTGCTCATTAGAGATCGTTTTGTTTCTCATTAAGGCGACATGAATAAGCGTCTAGTTGAAGGAGACAGCTGTAGAAATGTTCCACAGGAGACCTCTGGACACGATATGGCACCGCTTGCCAATTAGACATGTCAGTTTTAAGAGAAGAAAACAATCTATGAAGGACACTAGAAAGATAGAGAGCGAGGCTTTCGCTTTTTTTTTTTTTTTTTGGTTTTTTTTTTGTGTGTCTCCCATCTCCCTCCCTGGGACTGGGAGAGTCCTAATGATCGCCCGGTCCCCGCCTAGCTCTGAGCTCGGGTCCCGGTGCCCTCACCCTCACCCGGGCTGGAAAGCGCGGATCTCCCACTCCCACCCCCGCGGGTCTCTCCCTCCGGCCGCTGGAGCCAGGCAGGGGCACTCGTCCGCCCCCCTCTCCCCTCCCCCGACCTGGTCTGGCAGCCTGGGGGCAATGGCACCCCCGGCCGGCACCCCCGCGGCTGCGGCCCGCGTCTCGCCGTGCGGGGCGCGCCCCCTCGGCTGCTTGCCTGGAGGGGAAATGGTTTGGAGTTTAACTCCACTTTTCAAAGCTCCTTCTCTCTCTCTCTCTCTCTCTTTCTCCCCCCGCCCCCTTCTCTTTCTTAAATCAAATTACAGGCTGCTCAGAGCCCGCATTGTAGCGACTCAGATGAGTGTCATTTTCGTCAATAGGATTCAGAAGGATTCAGGCACTTTCTTTCCCTCTAGGAACGTGTTACATGTAGGCATCAAGGCGGGATCCGAGCCCCCCCCCCCCTTTGCCTCCCCTCCCCTTCTCTCCTCTGCTCCGGGAGGTGCGTGTCAGGGGACACCTGCCAGGGCCCCGACACCCCCCGGCCCTGGCAGCCCTGCCCTCCGCCCAGCCACGTCCCGCTTGGACGGGGGCGACCCCCCCCAGCACCACTCGCCCACTAGTGTGTGCATGCCCGGGCCTGAGGCCGTGGCCCGCCTTGCCAGGGTTATATAATTGGTGATGGGCGCACTGGGGCCGCCTTTGTCTCTTTGTATTTGGGAGTGTGCCCCCTCCTCCCCCCAAGCTCCTCGCTGGACAATGAGTGTTGGTGGCGTTGTGCTGGACGAGCCTCTTGCCCAGGGTCCCCCCCAGACCAGGAATGTGTCAGGGGGTTGGGGACACCTTCGCCAGCTAGAACAAAATATCATGAGACGGGATGGAAAAAAAAGAGGGGGGGGGGCACGAAATAAAACATGGCCATGCGAAAGCAGCTTGGAGCACAAGACGCTTGGCCCCGAGTCACAAAGGAGTGGGGGCAGGAGGAGGGGCTGAGGCCCTCCGAGGATTTGCCTCCCCAAATTAAAATTAATAAAATGGCTTTCCTCTGGAATATTCATGCTGGCTCTAATGTTTTTTTTCCCTTGCAGGGCTATGTTACTGGATTTTAAGAGTCCATTACTCAGAAAGCATAAGGCAAGGTTAGGTCTCAGAGGGGGACAAATATGGTCTCAATCTGATAAACGCCATGCAGCAGTGAATAAAATAATGGATACATGAGGGCTGACAGAACAAAAAGAGACATCTCTATCCGGGAGAAATTCTCCAGTGATTTAGTGGTTTTAGGGATCACTAAGACACTGTTTCTTATCTTTTTCTCCCCCCCCCCCACATAAGACTAAAGCCTTCTATAGGATTTAGACACTTTCTCTTTCAACCGATGCTACAATGTTTTGATCCCGGCTCTACAGCTGAAAGGTGCCGCAATTGGTTTGCTATCTTTTTTTGCTTGTTTTCCGCCTCACTGATTAAGACACTAAGAAACTAAGGAATGATTTTATTTCCCAGCGTCTTTTTTTTTTTTCTTCCAGGAAACAAATCCTATACCCAGCGTCAGATGGTCTGGCTATAGGATAATAGGACGCACATTCACTCGCTTTCTTACGGATTAGGTCTGGAAGGTGGAACAGCCTATTGAGACCGTTTCTTTGGGGCTGCTAAAAGGGCCCCCTTTAAAAAAATAAAGGAGAGCGAGAGATAACTTAATCGTCCACCGCGCTCTTTTAAAAATCATATTGGTGATTCCGCCTCCAAACTTTTAGCTCCATCGGGGGAGGGGGAAGCACGGGTCTCATGAAGGGAGGGAGGGAAGGCTCAAGTTTCCACAGGTTGCAAGAAAGCGCTGCTTTCAAAGCAAAAAAGTCCCGTCCTTTGAAAGCTTTAGGAGCCACTGGAGAAATACAGATCCTTCAAACTGAAAAAAAAATCACTTCATTTTTCAGGCGCAAGATTTACTCTAGCAAGATTTAGGGCTGCTTGGTGATCTCACTTTAACCTATATATATAGATATATATATATGTATGTGTGTGTGTGTGTGTGTGTATATATATATATATACATATATATATATATATATATATATATATATATTTCCCAGCGCCTGCAGCCTGTGCACTGCGAGATGCTGGCGAATGACGCAGGCACGGCTTGATTAGTTTATTTCTTTCTTTCTGATCACCCAACAAGCTTAAATTAAAGGAGCGGGCGAGGTGGCCATTTAAATGAAGAAGTCCGTGCCGCCCGGGCTCTGATCTCCTCCTCGCCGGGGGCCGTCGAGTGACTCCAAACACCCCGGAGGGAAGAGCCGGGTGTTTCGATGCACTCGAGGCCGCAGCCTTTAGCTTTCCCCGCCAAGCAGCGCGGAGCGTGCGGGGAAAACGCTTGGCAGAAAGGGGACGGCAGCCGGGCACCTTTCCTTGCGCGATCCACCCGGTCCGGAGGCTCCCCTTCCTCTCCAGGGGCTGGGAGTTTCCTGGCTTTGCGATAAACAGGGAGTAGTTTAAGTCCGTTTTAGGAGTTTCTTAACAAGTAGGGGGGGAAACATCGCGGAGCTGTTGGGAGGCATTTCTAAAGGGAAATCCGAGCTAGGATCCGAACACACGAGCCCTTACTCTGAAAACACTTTAAAAGGCACCCAGAAACTTTCACCAGTAAATAAAACCAGAGACCCTTGCGCTCTAATATGTTAGTTGAAGCTTATCTAATCTTAGCTAAGTAGTTTTCTCCCTTTCTGGTGTTGAGTAAACAGGCTCAGTGTATAGAGATGTCCTATTCACAAGTTTAGGGGTGTTCTTTCTTTCTCCTCTCCTATAGAAAGTAAAAATCCTAAATAGCATTGAGTAGCCCAGCCCAGGGGACAGTGATTAATGATAGTAGTGCATAAAGGTTAACATACTTCACTGAAAAGTCTGTTGACTGGGATCCTTGTGATACAATGTGGACCACTGCACGCCTCAAGAGAATCCTTTTGTTGTCCTCCCTGATTGTGTCCTCAAAATTCTGCCCACGAAAGTTTGCCAACTCTCCTGCCCCAAGAGTTTAATAGTTTCCCTTACTCTGCTGGCATTGTGTACTGGTGAAAAGCAGCCCCTTTCTATTCAAGTGTTGGTGGTCATCTCAATAGATCTACAAACGCCCATATGGTGACCACTGTAGATGAATCCAACTGTTTAAATGGGGGAGAAAGTTGGGGTTTTAAAACATTTCAAAGTGTTTGAAAAGATCCTACCAGATTCTGTCACAATTCTCTTAAAGCTTTGAAGGCTGTGCCTATTGTTAGGTGATTCTAAACGATATTACTTTAAAGTTGATTTCCCACAATATTTAAAGGATGTAACAGGAATGTTGCCATTTATTTTTAGCATAACTTTTGAAGAGAATTAGCATAAGTAGCCCCTGCCTCCCTTATTTCATCTTTCATTTAACAACATCAAAACGTCTTGAAAAATATGCTCTGAAAAGAGAGGGAGAGTTAATTTAGTGACTTCTTTGCCTTCACAGAAATGTCCATTCCTTTTGCAAACCGTTTTTGGTGTCTGCAGACACTTTGAAAGACAGCTAGACCAAGTGCACATCTTTACGTCCAACAGAAATGTGAACACAATAAAACTTTCCCTTGTTTAATGATAGAAATTACATTAAAAGTGGTGGAAATGCCCTAATTAAAAATGTACCACTTAAATGATATGCCAAACGTTCAGCTGCAGAATAGCATATTTAGCTAGTTAGTGAACTCGCTACTATTTCTTTTAAAATTACATGTTAAAATTTTAAAAGAAATCTTACTTTTCTCTGGTGCACCACATTACAAAGAATGGACAGTCCTTTTATCTAAATATAAAATTCCATTTTCAGCAATTATAGCCTGTTCTTGGTGATGATATAATTACAGCTGTGCTCAGTAATAGGTGTCAAGGCAATGCACACTCATACAATAGTTGAATAAAACTGCAGAACAATGCAGGCACTTCTAAATTCACAACCTTTAAAATGAAATTGACTGTGCAGAATTCAAATAAAAACTGGATAAATATTTTTTAAAAAAGATTACAAGCTTGGTTTGGTTTCTTAATAGCATTTTCTACAAACCTATCAACATCTAATTGATTAGATAGGAATTACTGATTATAGATAATATGAAATACTGAACATCACTATTTTAAATATAGCAAAAGGTAAATACATTCTGCAGAGAAAGGAGACTGGCATGGCATTTAATCAAAGATCCAATAAGAAGAATAATTTGCAGTGAAGACTATTTTATGCAGGTTTTATTTCAGGGAAAAATGAGATGTAGATTATATGGTCTTGATATTTCATGTTTAATATTTATAGCATTATTGGAAAATAAAATGCTATTATACAATGTATGTTAGCCGTGAACTATTACTTTGACACCTGAGGTATGTTTAAGAAAGGGTGTCAGCAAACATGGCTGACCTTGTTTATTACTGTATCTTGCATTGATAAGAAGCTGATAGTTGGGCTACATTTGTTTCAATTTCCTATTCTTATTGTTGCAGATGGCTGCCCGCAGCAGGAAGGAGGTGGTGAAAACACTAACTCCATCAGCTCTAATGGGGAAGATTCAGATGAGGCCCAGATGAGACTTCAGCTGAAAAGAAAGCTGCAGAGGAATAGGACATCCTTTACACAAGAGCAAATTGAAGCTCTTGAGAAAGGTGAGTGACGGTTTCAAGCTGGTGAAGTAGGACAGACAAGGAACAAGCATCCTGGTCATGTCAAAAGCTAAATGGAATCAGGTTGTTTTCATTTTATTTAATTTTAAAACATTGAATTGTATTAAGTCAGTGGCCCTCTCCCCTTCTGTTTTGTTTCTTCAGTATGCTTCACAGGTTTATTTATAGACATGGCCATTTAGTATTTGAACAGCTGTGGACATTTTAATTTTTAAAAGGAATGTAAGCATCAAGGTTATCCCAAACTGTTACCATTCACTTACCCCATCTTCTCATCAAATACATATCGGATTTCCTAAAAGCTGCTGTGCATACTGCAGATGTGAGCTAAATCAGAGTGCTGGGACTCCCAAGCTGTTGGTGCTACATTGTAGCCTTGCATCATACTGTCACATGTCCAAAAGACATGGGGGCTGAGATCTTGCACTGGCAGTGATTCACTCTGTGCCATGCCACCTGCTGGTGACTGATTTCCAGCTGTATTGGGGCGCCTGCTGATTATGAGTATAGATTCCAGTAATCCATCCTTAACATTCCCTAAAAAATATTAACGTTGGTCCCAATCCTTCAAATCCTTGTGGGATCTCTGTGCGCTTATGTCCATGACGAAGGAACAATATTGCTATTTCTAACAAACATGCAAATACAGCAAGTTCAGTTTCACTGTTAATAAAATGCCTATCCAAGTATTTAGAGCACAGGCAACAAGACCCCAAATTTAAAATGTAGCTATTCTAATTTCCTCTTTCTAAAAAAAAATTTTTGGAATGCAACATTTCCTTTTTCAGAATTTGAGAGAACCCATTACCCTGATGTGTTTGCCAGAGAGAGACTAGCTGCCAAAATAGACCTGCCTGAAGCAAGAATACAGGTACCCAAGTTACGGTGTAATTATTTTTTTTTGTGAGTGACTTATCGAGTTGCATAGGATTCATAATGATCATTAAGCATGTAGCCATCTCATATTTTAAAAGAAAAATCAGCAGATATAGGGTTATTTCTACATACCGTTTTGTTAGTCTTCAAGAAGGTTTTACCTTAGCTTTTCCTTACTTTATGTGAGGAATAAGTGACTCTGTGCATGTTATCCTAGTTCTGTAATCATTTTTTTAACTTCTTTTACTGTAGGTGTGGTTTTCTAACAGAAGGGCAAAGTGGAGAAGGGAAGAGAAACTGAGGAATCAGAGAAGACAAGCCAGCAACACTCCCAGTCATATTCCTATCAGTAGTAGTTTCAGCACAAGTGTCTACCAACCAATCCCGCAACCTACCACACCTGGTAATAGAACAAATTCTCATTAACACATCCTCTTAGGGAAATAAAATACAACTCTCTAAAAATAGATTATAATTTTTATTCAAGCTTAAACTAATGTGTTCATCTATCTGTCTATTCTATTATAGTTTCCTCTTTCACATCAGGTTCAATGTTGGGCAGAACAGACACAGCACTAACAAACACATACAGTGCTCTGCCACCCATGCCTAGCTTCACAATGGCTAACAACCTGCCTATGCAAGTAAGTAATACATCAAGTTGTCTTTTAGATGTGTGATTAAGGGCCAAATGTACACAGAACTCACTTGGAAGGAAGTGGAACTTACAGTGTACACAGAATGCAGAGACAGGCTTTATTAACAGCGAGGTGCTCAACTCTCACTGCAGGTCAGGGGGAATTAGATACACCTTTGAAAATATTCCTCTTCCAGCCAAAGGTAAAACAAAAAGGAAAGGCTACGGAACCAGGCTGGGACTGGGGAACAAATGAATAGGGATCCAAAGGACTAGAATCATATCATTTAGAAAGAAGAGATGTAAGAAGGGATATTTTAAACTCATAATGATCAATATTGAATGGAGAGGGGTGGTATGGGGCTCCTTTAGATTGTTTTCCATAAATATAAGAACAAGGAGGTGCCCAAAGTAAAAAGGCAACAGATAATATGAAAATGTCTCATGAGAAATATTGAAAAGAAAAAAACATTTACTTACGGAACTCACTGTTGCAGTAATATTGAGCTAAATAGCTTACAGAAATGATAAAAGGATTAGACCTTTGTTGCTTTGGTATTATGGCTACAGGCAAACTAGGAACACCTGAGAAATGGATGTGATTAGCATCTGCAGTTATGCTAGCTAAGTTAAAATTTCAAGAGCTGTCAATCCTCATGCCTGAAAGCATAAGTTGATCACCAGCTGGGTTAGGAAGAAGTCTATTCCTTCGGGGTCTGATTTTATAGACCTTTCAGATGCAAAATTCCTTCCTTTTTAATGGCGGGGGGTTCGCCAAGTAAGTTATTGGCCAATTACGGGAGTTTTACAGCTTTGTCTGAAGCATATAGCATTGACACTGCTGGAGATGGGATATCAGATTAGCAGGACCACATAGCTTTCCAGTATGGCAGTTACTATGTTACTAATTATTCGGCCAAATCAAGTGAGGCAGTGCAGAGAGAGTATCTCAAACCTGTGGCGAAAAATAAAATACTTATATTGTTATCTGATCTGAGGGGCACTTCATTTACCTTTGAGGGTAAAGGACTGATAGTCAAAAAACTGCTACAGTGTAATGTCCCATAGATAAACATCAGGAATGCAGAAGGTCCTTTAACATCAGATTCATATTATTCCAACTTGGACTGGACATTTTTTAGACTGGTAAAATAATTTTAGACACCTATTTAGGTAGGTAATTCCCTTACACCCTTTTGAACACTCTGGCTTAAGTATTTTCTACTTAGGGAAGACTGCATAATTTATAAATATAGGAATTCATAAGTAGATTATGTACTGTGAGCTGTAATATATTAAAATAGAATATATTACATAATCTATTAAAGTAATTTTATGTCATGCCTTTCTGTATAGTTATTTATGTTAGTATTATTGTAGAAAGCGTTTATAAAGTATGCTTCCATGAAGGCCAGATGCACTTGTGTAGTAACAGGTTTTATTGGCTTGGGTTTGGGATGACTGCAGTTCTCATAAGGAAACCAACTATATAGGGGTGCGTGTGTGTGTGTGTATATATATATATATATATATATATATATGCACACTTGTGTATATTACACATGTAACTGATCTCACTTTAACTGGAATGTTGTAGTGAAATTATTTTTTTAATTTATATCAGTATTATGGCTGCTGACGTGAATAAACAAAACAAAACAGCGCTTTGCTGGAAGAGGAAGCACATTGATTTGACTTAGCTCCCCAGCATCTGTACAGATTGGGTGCTTCAGTGGGGCTTTTAGGTACTTTATCTAATAGCCGATTGAATCAGCTATTAGATAAAAGTACCAAGAAGCCTCACTACATAGACATTGGGCAAGCTGGGTCAAACTAAAGCAATGCCTCTTCTAGGTATATGCCATAGTCAGTGTGTGGGGCACTGAGCTGAAAGTAAAGCATAGTTTTTTTTGTTTTTTTTCATGTCTGGAAGCAGCCTATATATAACATCAGAATCTGGCCCACGCAGCATCTACCTGTGCATATAAATATCATAAGGTCTATTCTTTTCTGCATTAGCACCAACATTTCAAACTTAGGTGTCTAAAGTTAGGTATGTAAATTAATATTTAGGCACTGATACAATGGCCAGATTTTTTTTTCTGATATACCAGGTACCTTCTAGTTCCAGTTAGCTTGAAAAAAACAAACAGACAACAGATGTGATTGCCCTGCATCTTTGAAAATTTCTGAAATGTGTACTTAAGTAACTAAATATAGATGTAGGCATCCAAACTTGAGTACCTAGTTTATTTATATTTTTGCAAAGAAGAATAGCTTCCATTATATTCTTGTGTGCTGATGTAACTTTAAACCAGAGGAAATAGATGCTTGAAGTCATGTTTAAATTTACAGACCTTTAACAGCATTTTGTCCTTTACTCCTGTAGCCCCCAGTACCTAGTCAGACCTCCTCCTACTCTTGCATGCTGCCCACTAGTCCGTCAGTGAATGGGCGGAGCTATGATACCTATACACCTCCTCACATGCAGACACACATGAACAGCCAGCCAATGGGCACTTCTGGCACTACTTCAACAGGTAAGCATCCATTCATTTATCCTACAACGATACATTTCCTATAGTTTGGTTTTGCTGTTAATCTAATCTTTTTTTTTTTTGACTAATGGTAACCATTTCTCTACCAAGGAACATTTACCATTGGTTTAGGCAGTGGCAGAATTGAGCCCAGGACCAAAACCTTCCTAGGCTTTAAGGGTATATAATTTAAGCTTAAAGGGTATATAACTTTAATTACTTATTATTTTAAGTTACCACTGAAGGGGAGAGACAAAACATACTTGCTTAAGGGAAGTGGTGTTCTAACAATGGCACAGCAGAATCATTCTTAGTGAGGTCCTGATCCTACAAAGAGTTAAGCCTGAGCTGAACTTCACTATTATAAGTAGCTTTGTGCATTTCAGTGGTAAACTTGTAATTCAATGGGATATTCACACTAGTAAAGTCAAGCATTCATGCACATGCTTGTAGGATTGAGACACGTTTGCTGATTTAGACTACGCTGGAAGCAGCTTTTTAAAAGACTGGATCTAATTAGCAGATCTTCGTGCATGTTGGAGAAGAAAAACTAAGTAGAAAAAAACAAGTACTAGTGTAAATAGAAGCAAATTAAAAATATTTTTTAGATTAAAACAATTTGAGGGTTAAAGGTTTAATGACATTTTGGTCACATTCTCAGCTGAGGATCTGGCCTTTTTTCTTATAACATGATAATTAATTTTATATAAGAAGGATGTTTAAAGCACATCAAACAGATTTAATATTCTGAATACAAGCACAGCCCGTTAAAACAGAAAAGCAAAAAGCTGTGCTCTACAGAGAAAAACTAAAATATACCTTTTTTCACTCAATTTTCAGGTCTTATTTCCCCTGGAGTGTCAGTTCCAGTTCAAGTTCCTGGCAGTGAACCCGATATGTCTCAATACTGGCCAAGATTACAGTAAAACATGTGTTAATTCCATAAATGACTATATGGACAACAGTTGGATGTTCAGCAGTATTTTATAAAGGAAGAATGGCTCTCAAAGTACTTCTGTACTGCAACTGTGCCCTATACCGTAACACATGGAAAAGACTCTAACATGGACCTTTGTACAATGAAGGCATTATATCAGTTGGAACAAATCTTCATTTTGGTATCCAAACTTTTACTCATTTTGGTGTATTATTTGTAAATGGGCATTTGTATGTTATAATGAAAAAAGAACAATGTAGACTGGATGGATGTTTGATTTGTGTTGGTCATGAAGTTGTTTAAAAAAAAGGAAGCCATGATCAACAAGCTTTGCCACGAATTTAAGAGTTTTATCAAGATATATCGAATACTTCTACCGATCTGTTCATAGATTATGGACTGATGTTCCAAGTTTGTATCATTCCATTGCATATAACTGAACCTGGAACAATACGCACTAGATTTATGTAAGAAAAATATCTGTTGGAATTTCCAAAGGTTGTTAACAGATGAAGCTTATGTGCAAACAAGGGGTAAGAGAGAACTTCAATGAAGAAAAGTTTGATAGATAAAAGGTAGATTGTGTCTTCGATATAATCCAATTTGTTTTATGTCGAAATGTAAGTATTTGTCTTCCCTAGAAATCTCCCAGAATGATTTCTATAATAAAGTTAATTTCATTTATATTTGACAAGAATATTCTATAGATGTTTTATACACATTTTCATGCATCATACGTTTCTTTTTTGGTCGGCAAAAGTTAATTGTTCTTAGATATAGCTGTACTACTGTTCACAGTCCAATCATTTTTGTGCATCTAGAGTTCATTCCTAATCAATTAAAAGTGCTTGCAAGAGTTTTAAACTTAAGTGTTTTGAAGTTGTTCACAACTACATATCAAAATTAACCATTGTTGATTGTAAAAACCATGCCAAAGCCTTTGTATTTCCTTTATTATACTATTTTCTTTTTAACCTTATAGTGTGGTGTTGCAAATTTTGTTACCATAGTAGGTTAACATTATATATCAACTGTTATTTTAAATTTATTTTTGATTTTCAATATGGAAGGTCCTCAAGTAAATAATTTTATAGATTTTGACTCAAGCAGTCTGTAGTACGGGTTGGAAAAATATATAAATTAATGTAACTTTTGTACAAAAGAAAGAAGAAAATGTTTCCCCTTAGTATAGTAAAGTGCTAAATGAACTCCAAAATCTAGCACTCCTAAAAGGAGACTGCACCAGACTGGTATTTTGAAATTGAATGTATATACATTCTTGACTTTTAAAAATTATTTCAGCTAGGCTGTTTTTAAAAGAGCGGATGTGTTTGTAACAAAAGCAAAGCTCTTTTGGAAAGCTAATACCATTCCCATACACTGCCACATAGCATTATCTTAGTGTAATTTTCCACTGAACCTATAACCTGGTTAATTTCTCAACATGTTTTATGTGAGGGTTGTTAGTGTGGGTGTGGGTGGAAAACTGCATGTCAAGAAATAATGAGGGAAGACAAATCAACAGACAACAACAATGCAAACTGTGACTGGCTACTGAAAGCTAAAGGCCTTTAGTCACTGGCAGTGAAATCTAAACATTCCCACATCTATGAATCTGGTTCATTGTAGTCCATTTGTTATTTGTCATGTGTGGAGAAGAACAGATCTAATGATTAAAAGCCAATATGCAGGCAGTTCTGAGTCAAAGCAAAAGCACTACAAACAGCCCTTGAAAGGAAAGGTATAATGTGAAACTCTTACATTTTAATTTCTGCTCTGTCCAGCTTATAACAAAATATAGATAACACTTCTTTCTAAACTTTACTAGGAAAAGTTGTGGTGCTGAGGCAATCCCTGCATTGCTGACAGGATTAAATGCAGCTAAATAAAAAGTTCTTTAGCGGTCACACAATGCTTCATTCACAGAACAAAATGAAGTGAGCATAAATTCTAGAAAACATTACATTGGAATTTCCTTTTTTATTGACATTTGTTTATTATAAATATGTTCATTATATAAGCATTTGATAACTTTATTTACACAGACGTTACTAATTTAAAAATGACAATTGAAAAGTTGTTTATTTTTTAAAGTCTATTATTTACATATATGCATGCATGAATATGTATGTATACATGTCCACACACATAAAAGCTGCGGACCTTATTCAGATCTAATTAAATATACCATATAGCAGGTCAAATTTTTATGCCATTGGCACCCACAATAAATCCTAGGTAAAAAGGCTGACATTGACATACCTACTTATCTCATTTATATCTACCAACCTATGTAGGTATAACACCCAGTACCAGCCTGTGCCATGAAAATGAAAGCAACCTTTAACACCTTCAGCCCCATGAGATCTTTTGGGAAATGGTTGCCACTTTTGCATATTAGCATGTAGTACCACACATATAGCCTGATTCACCTCTCATTTACCCGGGTTTTCTGCTTGCATGGAATTCCATTGAAATTAGAGGAGTTATTCCCCCTTTACACCAGCATGCGATCAGGAGTGTGTCTCATGTCCTATATCTTCTTTACAGATGTGATATAAACATATACTCACTCTCCTTCTGACTCTAATAATGTTATCATGGAAGCAGGAACAGAACTATAATATGTGTTATAGAACAAGTTTATACTCTATATTTGCAATTTGAGGAACACTGTGAAAAAGTTACTTGTGAGAATGAATGTTGTGCAGTGAGAGGCTAGTTGACTGTAGCAGAGAGGAAATGTTTCTGGCTCACTGGCTGGTTATTGTGCTCTTGAAGATGCGGTTGCTAGTGAAAGTCCCTGGCTGGCCGCATATTAGGAAGAAGGTAGGGCATTTGGTCCTCTGAGCAATGCCTGCCTGGAAGGGTTGCTACTCTCCATGTTGGAGGCATTATGGGTTACAGTGATAGTTGTGCATTGTACTGGAGGATGTGTCTGGAGTCCTGTCAAGACCCTCTTCCCTAGGGTGAGTGGGGGAGTGAAAACAGCCTCTCAACATGTGTGAGCTCTGATGCCACTTCCTCATTACTAGCTCTGGGCCATGTTAGACTTCAGAGCAATGTAAGTAGCTAACTGGGCATGGAGTGATTTCTTATATTTTAGATGCAAATATGTGTGTGTACACATGTGAGTCTGCATGAATGTATGCATGCATATGTGACTACATGCTACTTTACCAGACACCAATAACAGGAGGAAGGATTTGATAAATAATGCGTAATTTAAAATCTTCAGTGTACTCTAAACAGCATCTAATGCTTATTTCATTCACACTACTGTAGAATTGCGGTATCCATGAAGACTGAAATCTGCTATAGTCGCTTCATGTTACTCAGATATTTCTGTGGGTCTGATCCTGATACCACTAAAATTAATGGGCTTTTTGCTGTTGAATTTAAAAGAACAATTTATTCCTGTGCATAGGGCAAAAAAAGAGATCATATTTCATAAGAACAGCTTGCACTTTGTTTATTAGTCTACCCTAAGGCATTACAAGATGCTTCACAAATAATAGTCATACAGGAATCAATATGTAAGTAAAATTTTAAAAATTTTGTATTTTGTATTTCAAATATTCTGTTATATATTAGATATACACGGGGGAACCAGGATGACAGGTTTAGTATGCTAACATGTATTTTTCATCTGAACACCCTTTACTGTTTAAGGCACACACATACTAGGATCACTTTCCACTACTAAGATGCTACTTTTGGTTCCTTTAAAAAGGAGCACATCAATCACACTGAGCCTATTTAAAGGAGATAGAAAAAGAGCCACTTTCCATTATGGATTATAAAAGATGGGGTTTGGTGGAAAGGAAATTTTCTACCACAGCTACTTTTTAACCATAATTTCTTTATTTACAGGTATGAGATGGGCAAAACAATCGTGGATAGTGTCTTACTGGTTTGATTAAGTGAACCTGGGGCATCTTTGGGGCAAGACAGCATTGTTGCTAACAGCAGATTAGGATTGATAAAGAACTCTGGAAAGCTTCCATGTTAAACGTTGTGAATGTGACTGCTCCCAGGACTCAGTTCCTTGGGTATTTTATTTTGATTGATTTCTCTTACTTTACTGAATGAAAAAATTGTAATTTAATTTCTGAATATTATCTGCAGACCTAGAATTATTTTAAGGCATTGCTTTGGATTTTCATGGTATAAGAGGTAATGGAGAGGTTTGAGATGCTTTATTCATTTTTCCAGTTCATTTTTTTTTCTCATCTGTAACATTGACAGGAGTCAAAACACTGCTTTGAGTTCAGCTAGGGAGGCTCTTCTGCTTCCTGTTTGTGCTGGTTCAAGGACACAAGGTCAAAGCACCTTCTTGCAATTGTTCTTTTCTTAAAAGAAAACAGCATTTTAGCTCATTAAAATGTTTGCATGGTAACTGGCATTTCTAAATTATCCCCTGGTAGCAGCCATTTTTCAGAAAAGTGACATCACGGTAAGGACCACTTCTTACCTTGCAAATTTCAGATTGTTGGGCCAAGTGAAATGGTTGGAGTTTTCTTCTGAAGGCTCATCTTCAAAAGTTCACCTGCTCTCTTAATGAACTGAAGCCTGCAGACCTGTTCCTTAATCTGTGGATGTGATTTTTACTCACAAATATATGATTCCCTTGGCAAAAGTAAGTGTTTAAATTACAGAATTAATGTGAGGTTGCAACTGATGTGGGAGAAAATTGGGGAAGAATATCTTGCAGAATATGTTGCGGAGGGCGTTTTCTATTATTTTTCCTGAGATGCCAGGACAAGTGGTGTCTATGTCAGAAGTGTGGACAGTACATTCCTCTGTACAGAAGTGGTACATTGAAAAGGTACTGTCCCTGCTATGTTTGTGGAAAAGTAAGTATGAGATATTGAAGACTTTCTTTTTTTTTGGAAGATGATGCAGGGGTAAGTCCCAATACCATGCATGTTAGCACGTTACCTGTTTAGTAGCTCTTAAAGCAGGGGCAGACAATTATTTTCGCTGGAGGGCCACTTACTGCATCGAGGGCTGCATGACAGGCAGCTAGAGGCAGATAAATATTAATTTTCTAAATTTTTTAAGGGCCCCACAGGCTGGATAGAATGGCTTAGCGAGCTGCATCTGGCCCACGGGTTGCATTTTGCCTACCTGAGAGTATCTGTAACAGATGGCATTATTGGATAGTAAAACAAAGGAACACTTTTAGAGCAGCAATTCTCAGTCAGGGTGCCTTGACACTCTGGAGTGCTGTGAAACCCTTTTTTAAAGGGTGCTGTAGGGTAATGCACAATATTAACACTGCTAGGTGTGCAAACACCTACACATGAATCATAAGATAAACTCAGGAATCCACAGTGTCAAAAACATTTTGACCTGTTGTGGTCTTTTTAAGTTTTTTGCCATAGACTTGCTTAATTTTCCATAGTCAAGAAATGAGTGAAAACTATTTCTGAGAGATTCCTCGAGTCTAATGAGGGATGCCTTGAGTCTAAGAAAATTTTGAAAACCACTATTTTAGAAGATAGGTAAAGGAAGACCAAGGACATTTGGACACAGAAGTAAAGTTAGTTTAAGAAGCAATTTTAGAACGTGCTTACTTTTAGAGCATCTTTTATTTTAATTCCTATGTTAATATTCTCCTAAATTAAAAATGTGTGAACACTATGTTTTAACTTGAGAAAAAAAATAAAATGTAATTTTATTTTTAAGCTGCAACCACTTCCAACATGACACCTCTGCCAGATAGGTTGGCAGAACTTGTAGCTTCAATGACTAGACCATTTGACATTCTCTTTTGTATTTCAGTCCTACAGTAATCGAGTTACACATTCTTCTAGTTATAGCCATGGGTTTCAAAGAAGCCTCCTGTTCATGCTGACAGAGATTCTAATCTCCTTGCTCCCTCTTTCAAAGACAGTGCCACAGCCTTATAATGTGCCCCAAATTT